TACCTGGGTTTTAAAAAGGAGCTCACTTCAGTTTGTGGTGCAAGTGTGAGGAGCTGGGAGCAAGAGGCGTAAGGAGCTAAGAGTGAGAGGGTGTGCTGCTGGAGGACTGAGGAGCACAAGCATTATCAGACACCAGAAGGAAGGTCCTGTGGTGAGAATAAGGAAGGTGTTTGGAGGAGGCCATGGGGAAGTAGCCCAGAGAGTTGTAGCTGTCATGCAGCTGTTACAGGAGGCACTATAAACAGCTGCAGCCCACAGGGCCCTGGGCTGGAACCCAGAGTAGAGGGCGGGCCCGGGTTCCCCCAAAACCTCCCAATTGACCTGGACTGTGGGTTCTTCCAGAGGGGAAGGTCTCTGGGCTGTTCCCCAACCCACATGGTGAACTTCTGAGGCAAGAAAATCCACCAATAACTTTGTCACACTGTATAGACAGGTGTGCATTTCTGGGGTTTTGCGTTATGGATTTGTACATGGGCTTCAGGAGTTGGCCTTTAATAGAGCCATTGCAGTTGTGACAATGTGTGGTCCTAATTCCATACACAAAACTACCGTAACTTTAGTAAACAAAAAACATGGAGCTGGTTATGAAAAATGAGAAGAAGGGAGGGAAAGGAATCATAAAAACCTCTATTAAAATTTTTTTTAATTACCCTTTTCACCTGAAACTAGCATAATACATCTATCAAAACAATAAATATGCCTGTTTGGGCTTTGCAGTGAAAATGAGCAGGTGAGCGAGAGTGGAGGAGCGCAAGAGGGGTGGAGCCTCAGGAAGGGGTGGGGCAGGTTCTCAGGAAGGGGCAGGCCAGTGGCCGGGGCAAGAGTGTTCAGTAGTGTTGCCAACTTTCTAATGTAGGGGTGGGCAAACTTTTTGGCCTGAGGGCCACATCTGGGTATGGAAATTGTATGGTGGTCCATGAATGCTCATAAAATTGGGTTTGGGGTGAGGGCTCTGGGGTGGGACTGGGGGTACAGGAGGGTGCTCTGGGCTGGGACCAAGGGGTTTGGTGGGTAGGAGGGGGATTCGGGCTGAGGCAGGGGGTTGGGAGGGGGTCAGGGGTGCAGGCTCTGGGCAGGGCTTACCTCAAGCAGCTCCCAGAAGCAGCGGCATGTTCTCGCTCTGGCTCCTATGCGCAGGCGCCGCCCCGTCCGCAGGCGCTGTCCCTGCAGCTCCCAGTGGCCATGGTTCCCCGCCAATGGGAGCTGCGGAGGCCACGCTTGTGGCGGGGGCAGTGTGTGGAGCCCCCTGGCTGCCCCTAAGCATAGGAGCTGGAGGGGGGAAGGTGCCGCTGCTTCCATGAGCTGCGTGGAGTGAGGCAAACCCCTGACTCCGCTCCCCGGCAGGAGCTTGAGGGCTAGAGTAAAACATCTGGAGGGCTGGATGCAGCTGGGTTGAGGTAGGGGGTTGGGATACAGGAAGGGGCTCCAAGCTGGGAGGTGGGGCAGAGGCGTTCAGGGTGTGAGAGGGGGCTCTGGGGCAGGGGGTTGGGATGCAGGCTTCATCTGGAGGTGTGGGTTGAGGGTTCAGGAGGGGGCTCAGGGTTGGGGCTCTGGGTCACCGTTGGCAGGTCCTGGTCAGTGGCACAACAGGGGGGCTAAGGTACCTTTCCTGACACTGCAGACTGTACTGCGGTCGGAAGCGGCCAGCAAGTCTAGTTCCTAGGTGGAGCAGAGGTGCAGCAGGCACCGCTGTATGCTACTTCTGCCTGTAGGCACTGCCCCTGCAGCTCCCATTGGCTGCAGTTCCTGGCCAGTGGGAGTATGGAGTCAGTGCTCAGAGCAGGGCAGCGTGCAGAGCCCTACCCCCCCCCTCCCCTCCCACCAGGAGCCAGCTGTGCTGGCCGCTTCTGGGGTGCAGCACAGAGCCAGGACCAGTAGGGACTAGCCTGCCTTAGCTCCGCAGCACCACTGACTGGACTTGTAATGGCCCAGTCAGCGGTACTGACTGGAGCTGCTGGGGTCATTTTTCAACTGTGTGTTCCAGTTGAAAACCAGACACCTGGTCACCCTAGTGTTTGGTTTTCTGTAATTAGAAAGTAGGCAACCCTAACCCTCACCCACCCCTCTGCCACAGCCTGGTGAAAATGAGCAAGGGTGGATGTGTGGGCCTTGGGGCAGGGCAAGCGTGTTCGTTTTCTCTGCAATCAGAAAGCTAGGGTTACCATACGTCCATATTTTCCCAGACATGTCTGGCTTTTTAGTTCTTAAATTGCTGTCCAGGAGGAATTTTTAAATATCTAAAAACATCCAGGAAAATACGGACTTACGGTACCCTAAGTCCAAAGTCCTGGGGCTGGCAGCGCTTCCTGGGGCAGCTCCCGGCACCTGCCCGTTGGCAGGAGTCTGCAGTGTGGGCGGCCCCTAGCCACAGAAATGGAGGGGGTCTCCTGCCCAATCAGAGCTGTGGGGGTGGGGCTTGCAGGCACAGGCAGAGAGCCCTCCGTGTCCAACCCGACCCTAGGACTCACAGGGACCTGCCGGATGCTTCCCAGGAGCTGCCCCAGGTAAGCACCGCTGGGACTCTCCACCTGGCCCCCCAGCAGGTCCCTCTGGCTCTTAGGGTCGGGTGTGCGGGGGCGGAGGGCTCTCTGCGCGCTGCCGGTGCCTGCAAGCCCTGGTCCACGGCTCTGGCAGCAGGGCTGGCTTTAGGACCTGCGGGGCCCGATTCTGCAGTCTGCGTCTTCAGCAGCACTTCGGCACGGGGGGTCTGCTCCATGTCTTCCGTGGCACTGAAGGACCCCCCCCCGCCACCGAAATGCTGCCAAAGACCCCAGAACGCTCCCCCCGCTGCCAAAATGCCGCCAAAGACCCCATAGCGGACTGCCGCCGGGTGAGCCTAAAGCGCGGGGCCCTCTTATCCGTGGGGCCCGATTCCGGGGAATCGGCCTAAAGCCAGTCCTGCTGGCAGCTCCCGTTGGCACTTTTCCCGGGGGGGGGAGGCGGGCGGCGAGCCAACAGCAGGCGAGGGGTGGGGTGAAAAGGCCAGCAGCGGGCAGTGGGGGTTGAAGAGGCGAGCTGTGAGGGAGCCAGCGGCAGATGGGTGGGGGTGAGGAGGCAAGAAGCGGCGAGCCACTGGCAGGCAGGGGTTCTAGGGGCGGGCATGGGGGTTTCTGGCAGAGGAGTGAGGAGGTGAGTGGCTCAAGTGACCAGATAGCAAGTGTGAAAAATTGGGACAGGGAGTGGGGGGATAATAGGAGCCTATATAAGAAAAAGCCCCAAATATCAGGACTGTCCCTATAAAATAGGGACATCTTTTCACCCTATGAGTGGCAGGTGCAAGGAAGCAAGCAGTGGGTGGGGGACTGAGGAGGGACACAGCAAGCCCGTGGTGGGCCGGTGGTGAGGGGGTGGGACCTGGGGCAGCGGAGGGGTGGAGCAGGGGTGGACTGTGGGTGGGGCTGACAACCTCCCTGCCCCCCCCCCCTAACTCCCCCCGGAATGTCCTCTTTTTTTGAATGTTCAAATATGGTAGGGTTACCATATGTCTGGATTTCCCCAGACATGTCTGGCTTTTTGGTCCTCAAATCCCCGTCCGGGGGGAATTTCCAAAAAGCCGAACATGTCTGGGGAAAATAGGGATGCATAAGTTAGGGTCCGCAGCACAACCTAGCTGCCCCAGCTACATTGTAGCGAGCTCGGGTGGAGGGGGGGCGCACAGCCACAGAAGGTGGTGGAGGGGCCGCTGCTGCCCCTGCAGGCTGGGCAGACCGCGCACCCCAGCTGAGCCCGCAGGACCACAGGGAAGCCAGGCCCAGCCCGCGGCTCGGGCTTCCCTCACGGGCGGAGACCCCCAGCCACTGGGGGACCCTTCCTGCAGCCCCATCACCCTGCACGGCTCGGAAGCTGGTGCTGCGGGAGCTGTTTCCAGGGGGGACTGACAGGCCGGGGCACGTGCTTGGTGGCGGCAGGAAGGAGTCTGCGGCACGGGGCGGGGAGTGCGGCGTGTGCCGGGGCTGCAGGGACCTGTGCCGCCCCAGTTGCCGCTGAGCGTCTGAAGCCCCCGCCAGGCAGAGGCTGCCGGGGGGGGTGCAGAGGCTGCAGGGGCAGGGCAGGTGGGGGGCGCAGGGGCTGTGGGGTGAGTGGGGAGCAGGGGTCACACAGGCTGCAGGCCAAGTGGGGAGCAGGGAAGCACTTAGCAACCCCCAACCGAGATCAGAGCGGGAGGGAAGGGTAGAGTTGGGGCAGGGACTTTGGGGAAGGGGTTGGAATGGGGGTGGAGAAGGGGCAGAGTTGGGGCAGGGCCAGCACCCCTGTGGAGTGTTGTCTTTTTTCAGTGTTGAAATATGGTAATCCTAAAAAAGTTGGCAACTCTCCCTTCAGTACTGTGTGTTCCCCACCCAGGAGCACCAGCCCCCTCTGTAATGTGTCTCATGCCTAGACCTGCACTTGGGCTCGAGTCATCGGAGGCCTCGAACGGGTCCGTCTTTATTTTCAACAGGGGACAGAATACACATGACTCGGGGAGAGGGATACCTAGCCCGCCCAAGGTTCCAGCCGCGCAGCCGCAGCTCAGTTTTTAACACGCGAGGGAGGGGCGCGCGCCGCGGTGCACGCTTTATAGCGGGCACTAAGGCCCTGAAGGAAAGTGGATTTGCTGAGGTGACTAAGCCACTGCCTGATCAAAGTCCTCGGTGTTCCGCCCCCTTCCCCTTCCCGGCTGTCCAGGTCGTAATGCGAAAGCTGGGCGTCGGTCAGGAGGAACAGGCGCGGGAAGGAGATTCCGCGGAGAGGGAGTTCTACCTTTCGAGGCGCTACTCCGACAGCTATGGCGGAGAAGCCCTGCGTTTCCATAGCAACAAACTAAACGGGAAGTGACGGTGTCACTGAGAGCTGGTAAACGGAGTCCTGTCCGCTGCCGGCATCACCTCGGCGGGGCTCCTGTGGGCGGGCCCCGCTTGCTCGGTCGCGGGAAGGGGGTGTCACTGCACGGGGAGCAGCTCGTACCCCCGGAGGGGACAGGAGGTGTTGGCGGGGCGGCGGATTGCGCCCCTCTTGCCCCGCCCCCTCAGCCTGTTCCTTCCAGCGGGGCCAGCTCGCTGCCGCCCGCCACGGGCCGAGCTTTCCAAACAGTCACTTGCCAGGGGAGGCTGTTAATCATCCTGTGATAAGGCTAAGGCATAGCGGTAATTAACATTCCACTTACTGATCTAATTATTTGTGTTGCTATTGGTAATCAGATCAAAGGAAGGCTAACATGAGAGATGGTTTGACTTTGCAAAAATGATGTATATTTGCAGCTAGTAAAAATGGGCTTTCCAAAGGAGTGCTTAGTAAGCTGTGAAAAAAATGTAAATGCATCCAGTTAGATATCAAGACGTAAAATTAAGAATACAATGGGTGAAATGGGAGAGACCAGATTTTTTTTTTGCAATAAATATGGAGGTAATTGCAATATAATTCAGATGTGTCCAACACAAGCATTGTGGTGTCATGCAGGTAATAAAGGCAACTATTTTACTCTCAACACAAATTGGAAACAAATGGAAAAGCAAATATATGAATGGGAGGATAAAGCACTGGTGATGATGTAGGAGCACAGTTTGTCACTGGTTCTAATAATTTTACAAATCAAGGTTCTACAGTAGATTGCAATTCACTTTTTCATCATTTATTTCCAGTGCCAAACCAAAGTAGATACTAGAGCTCAATTCAGTGTACTCACAAGTGTATGTGAAATGGTTAGTGCCTGTTTCATGTTAAATATTAAAACCAAGCTTTTTAAACACACACAAAATTTTGGATGCAAAGCACCATGTCTGGTTCCTGACTCTGGCACTCCTTGTACCATACACCAAAGTTTTAGTTCTATAAAAATGATGAAGCCCAGCAACAATTTTGATTTAATTTTGCTTGCAGGTTATTTCATCATTGAAAATTCCTTGAATAAAAGAATAGTAAAGCACTCAATGTCTCTCAATCAAATGCCTGTTCCTGGGCCACCATCTGCGTCCAAACCAGAGGGCAGAAAAATGAAAGGTAGTTTATCTCTGGTACCTGTCAGCAGTAGAAGTGCAGGTAAATCTCAGCTGGGGACCGGATGATACTGTATTAACGGCATGTAGGGCGTTGTTTAATAGCGACCATGACTTTGCAGGAAAATTGACCTCCTAGCAATCAATAGTAAGAGGTTGATAAACAGGAGAATGCAGTTTGGGAGTACCTTCTTGTTTTTATATATTCACTGTATTGAGGTGGGTCACATGGCTCTTACATTTTCATCTATGGTTTGAATAATTAGAACACTGAGCGGATACAAAATTTGTATCAGCATCCCATCCACAGATATAAAGCAAATATCCACTGATTTGCAGGGCTCTAATATAATCCAACACCTCAGCACCACCAAAGGAATGGTGAATTTAGGATGCTCATCTGTGAGTGTGCTTAAATGTGTGTGTACTGTACTACCATATGTAAAATAACTCTGCAGATAGCAGCAGTTTGACGCCTTTTGTGCTGATTCTGAAATTCTCACAGAAAACCTATTGCTACATACCGAACAAGTAGCAGTAGCACGGCCTGCAGAGGAGCCACAGCAGTGGGTTTACAATGGGCTCATGTTGGAGAGCTACTTCTGTGGTGGCTAATTCATAATGATGGGATAAGGTGATCCTTTAATAAAGATTTATTAAAAAAATACATGAGAATGGGGCCAGCTCACCATATCGTTTTGAAAACAATGTTTCCCTCCCCAGCAAAGTGTATCAGCCTCTACTGGGGTTTTTTTTCCTGCTGTTTTCCAGAGCTCCCTCAGCTAAGAAACAAATCAAGTATGCTGGACTGTTCAGGGCCTCTTCCCACTTCCCTACAGTGTGATTTCATCCCAAAAGAGATCCTCCTAGCTCTGACTTCTGCGGCCAGTAGTGCCTATAGCCCTGAATACTTAAGACCCCCCAAGAAAAACAAAAGTGCAAAAGACTTCAAGGTACGTACATTATCCTAGGTAGTGCCTTTTCCTCTTCAGGATAAGACCTGCCCAGAGTGGTCCCATTTAGATCTATACTAGCACAGTATCCAGCTGTGCTATCAAAAAGTTAAAGGAATTCTGTAGTGCAGCATGTTTTTATTCCAGCAGCTAAAAGTGAATTTAGTGTAGTGCTTGGTTTTATTAGAACAGTGTATCTTCTGTGTTTCACTTGGCTAGAAATGACTTGTTTCAATGGATCCTTAAACTTATAAAATAAAAAATATGGATTTATGCTTATCTCAGAACTGGAAGGGACCCTGAAAGGTCATGGAGTCCAGCTCCCTGCCTTTACTAGCAGGACTAAGTACTGATTTTGCCCCAGATCCCTAAGTGCCCCCTCAAGGATTGAACTCACAACCCTGGGTTTAACAGGCCAATGCGCAAACTACTGAGCTATCCCTCCCCTCCATATATTACACCTATGTTCTAATTAAAACAACTTTATATAGATTTTAAGCTATTTGAAATTGAATTTGTCATTTAGTTACCATAAAGTGCCTAGCACACTTTCATGCCACTAAAATATTAGATAACTATATGGAAAGACAGAGCTATATGGAAAGTGATTATACTGTTGTTTTGATCTTTTCTACTTCTTGGAAACTTTATTACTATTATGATTTTATTATTTATAATTTGTATAGCACCATAACATGCATAAAGCTTCACAATTGGTTACTGTACCAGACAAAACCATCATTCCTGCCTCACAGACTAAAGACATGAAAGGGTACACTACAATACTCTGTTGGTCAAACCTTCTGAATGAACTATAAATGGTGAGATTGGGAGGTGAGAGAGTAGGAGATTATAGTGTTTAAGGCAGGAGGAAACTAGTGCATGGACTGAAATCTTGGCAAGGGGGCTCCTGAAGAAGGGGCAAATTCTGGAGGTTCTATAGCTGACAGAAAGGAAAGTTTTAGTTATCTGAGGGAAGATGTGGGAGAGAACTGGAAGAGGACCATAGTATTGCCAGCTTTGAGAATAAGGAGGATGTATGTGATGTTAACAGTGACATAAAAAGGGGTGGAGAGACTTGGGAAGTTGTGACAGGATCCCTGGGGTATAACCTGAAACTGTGGGATCACTGTGCTCCCTTAACTCTTGAGCCTGCACTGTCTCTCCCAATACTTTGTCAGTGACAAACAGCAGAACTTCTCCAGGTGCTGTGATCACTCAGCCTTCAGCATATGGAGCCACACACCCAGCTAGATTGCATGAATGTTCCCTGAGCTATTCATGAATCATACAGAGAGAGGCACCAGCTAATCACCCCAGATTCCAGCCTTGCATTCCAGAAATATACTCTTACATTGCTCAAGACTCCCTTGTATAATGCAAGCTCATTAATTAATTCACCAGTCCGACAAAAGGATAGTGGACATGCAACAGCCCTTTTAATCTGAGCTGAAATTTCTCAAGTACTTCAACCAAAACCACACAGTTTAAGATAAAATATAAAACAGACTTATTAACTACAGGAAGATAGATTTTAAGGGATTATAAGTAGCAGGCATAGAGATCAAATTTGGTTACATAGAAATAAAAATAAATTCAGTCTAAATTCTACAGACTAAGCAAAATTTGAATTAAGTAGTCTCTCACCCTAATAAATGTTACAGGCAGCTCAGTTCTCAATACACAGGCTGGATTTCATTCCCAGCCTGGGACCAATCTCCCCAATTCAAAGTCTGTGTCTTTCGGATGATCTTCCAGGTGTTGAGATGGGAGAGAAAAGAGGCCAAGCCCCTCTTTTATACTTTCTTCCAACTGCTAGAAAGATAATTGCTGTGATGTGGGTTAGGCTGCCCTCATTGCCTAGGTGTCCTCTGTGTGGAGTTTCTGGGATAGTGGATTATTCTTGATGGGCCATCAACACCTGTCTGGCCAATTACACTGGTCTACAATTTTTGAGAAGTCGTTTGCTTCAGAGATAAAATGTGCTATTTATTATGTATTTTGATGTGCTGAATTCAAATATGACAATTAAAACAAC